CTTTCCCTTTTGAAGATCCTCGAGTGTAGAGTTGCCTGCAACTCTAGAATTAATTGCTCAAGTGTGGAAGGTTACCCAGAGACCCACTCAGCTGCAAAAACATCTCACATGCTGCGGATGATCACGGTTACTGCGCTTCCCACCTCGGTTTCCCAGGTTGCAGAGGAAATCCTGCATCAGATCGACTTTTCAGAGTGGCAGCAGAAGTCCTTGCTGCTGAAGAGCTGAGCTTTAGGTGCAGCAGCAACAAGAATCTTTTCTACGGTGTTTTAATCTCACTCAGTGGAAATCTTAACATCGCGTTTCTGCACGACACCATGGGAAATGCTGTTTGTGAGTTTCAAAGCTGATGTTTTTATGCCTCCTGCTTTGTGGTTGTGTTTTGGGGCTTCCCACATGACATTTAGATTAGCCCAGCTTTGCTGAGCTCTACAAAATGATTCTAATTGACTTGGCTTCCTTATTATTTTTTTACTCAGGAGTTGTAATGAGATGACTGCTTATACCAGAGATTAACTTGAGGGATAAATCTTCTGTTCGCCTTTATGGAAAAATGTCCAGAGTAATGCAAATTAGTTCTAATGCTTTTTCTAACAAGCAAGTTAAAAATGTTTAATTGAAAAAACTCATTTTGAGCAATAAGAACTATTGAAGACCCAGCTGCTTTTCACTTTCCTAGGGTGCTATTAGGAGAGCAAGAAGCATTTTGCAGTAGAGCAACCTTGATGGCTTTCTAATGATCCTGTGTATTTTTACATCTTCACCAGGGAGATGCATTTAGAAGGGCAGTGTTCTTGTATGAGTTTGGGAGTAGAAGTGGGACAAGAAGAGAGGATATTGAAAAGCTGCAAGTATGCTTGATTTCTGAGCCAGAATGCTAGGGAATAACTGTAATTTGGCACTGGATGGATCAGAAGCTGTGTACTGCTGCCCAGACACACAATGGAGAGGAAGCACAGACTTTTCAAGCTGTGTCTAAAACCCCCACCATTTTAATCCTCAAATTCCCTCCTTCGGACCCAAAAAGTACAAAGTTCTCCAGATCGAAGAAGAAAACCCAGGAGGCTGTTTCTGCCCACTGGAGACGTGTCCGGCATCCAAGGTGGGCTGTGAGGGTCTGGGGGCCTCCAGCCCTTCCCTTTGTGGCCTGCTGATGCCTGGTACTTTCTCTCTGACCTTCTTGCCCTCGCCTTCAGGAGACGGAAACCTGCCCACCCCTGATGTCTTGCTGGCTGCTTAGCCTTCCAAGCACTAACATCAGCTGGGTTAAATTGCTGCCAGCAATGACATTTCCTGCCCGACCAGGGGTGGAAAAAAGGAGCAAATACAAGCCAGAGCCCAGGGTGACTGAAAAAGGGTGAGAACTTACAACTGAGCAGTTCCCAAGCTGCAGAGAGGTGCCCTTTATTAGTTACATGCAATTAAACCCACAGCCCAGTCAAGGGTCGTGACACCTTTGAGGGCAAAGTACCCAGCAGCTTGTTGGGTGCAGGTCAACTACAGTTATGGGATGGAGGTCCCCACTGAGGGCAGGAGAAGAAGAAGGTGAAGTCAAGGACTGAGCCCCCTAACAGTTTTGTAGGATTGGAGGAGGCTGTTTGACCCAAGGGCTGGGAGGTGGGGTCTGACTGGAGGTCAGCAGAGAGTTTTCTCAAGCCCCCCAGGAGATATGTACTGATGAACTGTTGATCTGAGGTTCTTTTACCACTTTTCCCTTGTGTACAATCATTTGAGGAACTGCTGGGAGCTCTGGAAGCTCCCAGTTCACCTCTCCATCAAGCATTTGCTTGCTGAAAGCCACAAGTGCAGTTGTGACCAAAGCAGCTGGGCTGCTGGAAAGATGCTTCTGGCCCATCCTTGGGAACTGTGGGAAAGGCAGCAGCTTCAAAGTTGTATACAAGAAATGGTGTTTAATTTGGAAGCACAGATATGAGCTGTATGAAATAATGCACAGCTTCACATGAGGAATACATCTACCTCCTCACCTGCTGCCCTAAAGAGACATGAACAGCCCAGAGGAAGCTGCTGGAGATGTTCATGGTGGGTGGAGGAGGCTCAGCTTCCTTGGTATTGGTGTTCCTTCCCTAATGAACTGTGCTGGCAGCCAAGGAGGGAATTTCCTTCAAACCATTTATAGAATTGCAGAGGGGCAGGTGGTCACCTTCCCCCAGCTGCTCCAAAGCTGGAATGAGAACCTTGTAGCTTTTTAACCCCTTTTGCTCTGAGCTGCCTCATCTCTAATGAGGCATCAGTGGAGCACAATGTGAAGCTCTGAACCTGCATAAACTGACCTGCTGCTGGGCTGTGTGGGCTCCCTTGCCTCCAGCTGCATCCCCTGAGGTGTGGCTCCTGCCCTGTTTGGCATGCATGCTGAATGTAGACCAGACATGAGCTTAGGAGAAGTTGTGATGAAAATAATAGAACAATGAATGAATAAGAATTAAGGCCTGTATCATCAAAACCACCAGGGCACTGAGTTCCCATTTCAGTAAGAATTGTGTCTATTTTAATTATTTTTGAGGATCTAAATGTTTAGTCAGAGAGCAAAAGTCCAGTCTCCCTTTATGTGGTCTTTGCCCTTGGGTTGATAAAAGGGGAATGTGACCTTAATCCTTCAGGAAGAAGTTCACATTCCTGTATCCAAGGAAGCTGGGCACCCTTTGGGCAGGAGCTAACCCTCCCACGAAGTGAGAGAAATAAGTGTCCCTTGCATGCATTAAGAGGAGGTGGGGGGCAGATGCTTCTGCTTCATAGGCAACCAAGAACCAGCCAGAAGAGCCAAGGAACACTTTTAAGTGTTTCAGAGGGGCCTGTGGAGAAGCAGAGCTGCCCAGGCAGCCAGTTGCAAGCTGTGGGGCCGGACCGAGGGGCTGCCGTGCATGAGGACGTTGCCTTCCACATGCCAAGGGCAAACATCAATGCAGAAAACAATACCAAGCACTT